ACACGGAGCCCTGTGGCCCCCTGTCATTCAGGCTGATTAGTGAGTTGACCTGCAGGTCAGAGTGGATCTGGCTCTGATGACTGCTGACCGGCAGCAGGAACTACCTACCTTCCTCCTCTTAGCTCTCAACTCTGTCCTCCTCTCCCTTCTTTTCATTTGCTTCTCTCCTCTGTTCAACCAGATGTCTTCTATCAGGAAGTGGCTACTCTGATTACTGAAGCCACGTTCTACTCCTTCATCAGCTCTTTTGCACCGGACAGACAACAACACCAGCTCTTTTTCGGCCTTCTCTGCTCCTCTATCATACCACTACCTTAACAAAAAACCCCTTTATCTCAAACTGGCCACAGATTAGAGGAGAGAGTTTTACATGTGTATTATGCTGTAAGTGTGTAAGCAAATGTGTGTATTTTTGTATGACAGAGAGAGAGAGGGGGGTGTCACAACATGTAACTGGAGTTGAGTAGGAGGAGCTTGAAAATATCATGAGTGTTGACCCTTGACCCTTCTGTGGGATAGTGGGGGTGTGACCTATCCATTATCTCTCCAACACACACACACACACACACACACACACACACACACACACTCTTTTCACGTGCACATACACACACACGTTGCCACATTAGGTGTGTGTTGCTGTACCTGCTGGTGAGGCCTCAGACTGGGCGATGAGTGCCGCCATGGCCGAGTTGGGGTTCAGCCGGTTTCCAAACATGTGGGAGGGAGCGAGGTTGAAGACTGACCCTGGCAGACCGCTCACCTGTAGACAGAGGCACAGATACAGATGAGAAGAAGCCAGAGGAAGCCATGTTTCACTGTGATTGAAATCTTCTAATCACGTTAGAAGCAATTTTTTTTTAAGGGATTTTTTTTTTTGCCTTTTCCGCATTTATTAGATAGCTCATATGATAGAAACAGAGGCAGGAAAGAAGGGGGGGGACAAGAGAGTATGACATGCAACAAAAATCCCCCCACAATGCAGTTACATGGTATGCGTCTTAACTGCATGGTTATTAGGAGGTTTTTAAATCTTGAGAAATTAACATCAAGCAATGAAGTGGTCTATAAAATAGAAACTGTGTCTATAAAATAATGGAAAAGCCATAGAAGAATTTATCGTTGAATTCAATTTTAGGGCTACAATTAATGATGATTTTCATTCATTCATACATTGTTACATTGTACATTTACACACAAATAATTTTTTTTGTTTTATCAATTAATAGTTTAAGTGTATGAAATAACAAAAATATTTTCCTAGAGCCCAAAAGACACATTAATTGAATTTACAATGATACAAATAGTAATTAAAACACAATACATGACCTGAATGGTTAATTCATTATTGTTGTTGATTCATGTTAATTTTATGTCCATTGTTTTATAAATATTTCTTTCTTTCAAAAAAAAAAAAAATAATTTTTGAACAGTAGCAAAGCAATGTTATCTACATATGAGTTAGAATTTTAGTTAGTGAACTGATATTCAAATCACATGTTGTATAATTTTCTTTGGAGGTCTGACAGACTGGCAGGCTGTTACACATTTAATGAGCCAGTCCAAAGCTGAGAATGAATCTAATTTGAGAATTTAAATTATCTGGTCTCTTCTATTGATTCTGCATTGTCACAAAGCATCTACATGTTATTTCATGCCAGTGAAACTCGTCTCAATGTGGATTTGACAACACTTTGACTATCTTTTCATGTACAAAAAAAAACAGGATATAATATGGATCCACAGCTCATTATTCTGTTACACACACAAATACACAGAGGGCTCAGAGTGCCTCGACACCCCGACAGTACGCTGACATGCTGACAAAGTGTTTCTGATGCATAGAGTTTAATCCAATTAAGGCATTTCCCAAATAAGGACCGTGGAGTAAAGGGTGGGGTGAGGTTAGAGGGAGGAGAGCGAGGGTGGAGCATCAGGAGTGGAATCATGTCTATCTAAAATAACAAAATGGCTGACTGTTTTGGTTGTTGAGGAGTTCCAGAAAAAGTTATGCAGCAAAAAACTTATTTATATCACTGGAAGATGCTCTTTCACATTACATGAGCGTTGCAAATTAAAAAAAGCACAAGGAGATATTTATTTGAAATGTTATTGAAGAAAAAGTTACATGGTGTCAAAACACAACTTCATAGTTAACTTAAGGGATAGATACGCTTAAGAGCTTACATTGTCTGGTTTCCTAAACCTTCAGTAGTTTGACTGATGAGAGCTAGAAAAAAATGCTTTTGCAAATGAGCATTAAACGGAAAAACTCTCTGAAAATTATCTGAAAAATTAAAAAACAAAACAAAGTGTGTACATGCAAATCCTGCATTTGAGAAGCTTTGCCAGCCTCTCTCTTATTTTCTGTTCTCAAGTCTTTTTTATCCATTTGCTGAAATTTACGTTGCACCCAGGGGGAAAAAAAACCCTAGAAAGTCATAATCTCCTATTACGATTTCATGGAAGTGGTTTGTCTGAAATAATAAAATCTGGAAAACATCCTGGAAATTCCCACCACTGTTAAATGTTAAAAAAGAACCTGTACCCTCCGTCCATTTTTCCCCCTCACTGAAATGACTTTCCTTTTAGAGCCCCCCCCCTCCTCCTCCCCTCTTCATCCTCCTCCTCCTCCCCTCAGTGCCATAATCCTGCCCCCTTTCCCATCAACATTCATTTTTCATTTTCATTCATTTTTCATTCAAAGTCTCTCTCGCACTCCCTTTCTCTGTCCTGGGCTGATAGCCAATAACAGTAGGCTGGGAGTTTGCTAGCGGACTGAAAATAGCAAATGGTCTCTGTCACTCACTCTCCCACACACAAACACACACTCACATACACACACTGAGGGAAGCCTGTTGTTGGCGTCCTTCTATAGTTGCGTAATTTCAGCAGCCTCAATTCGGAGTGTGTGCGTGTTCCAGATGCCCAGAGCAGTGCATTACACTACAAAAAAAACACACACTCACACACACACACACGTTTTTAACAATCTGGAGCGATTGAAGGAAATGAAGGGAAAAAAATTACATTTCTTTCTCTATTAAAGCCTTCCACACTCTGGCTTTCCGCTGCTCTCGTTCTGTCTATTTTTCCTCACACACACACACACACAATGGACACCACAACAGACTAAAGCCCAAACTAATCTATTACATGCTGCAACAACAGGCGTGTGATATCCTGTGCTTCCTGGGCCTCCGTTTTATAATATGTGCTGAACAGAGAAGGAGCGGGGGCAAGAATGAAGGCAGGCCCAGGAATTCAACCCCCGACGCCCCATCCGCCCCAAAACACTCACACACAGCCGGAATCCCCCCCCCCCCCCCCTCCCCTTCCTCCTCTTCCGCTCCATCCCTACTGTGGTGCTTGTCAGATGTCTTACATCACCAGGACAAACAGAGAGGAGAAAAAGAGAAATGGACGGGGACACGAGAGAAGGAAGGGTCGAGGGTGAGAGAAAGTGTGTGTGGAAAAAGAGAAAGAGAGGTGGTAAGTGGACCACGGCGAGAGGAAAGAGAGAATGGCAGTTCGTGGGACAGGAGACGAGAGCGTGTCTTGGGAGGGTTGAAGGGGGGAAAGACACTGGCGGCTTCGCGCGAGTGCTGTGAGGCGATGACGGATGTTTTGGGGGTGTTGCTTGCTGCTTCTGCATGTGCAGTGTTAAAAGCAGCCGGAACACACGAGTTGAAAAACTGATTAACTTTTGTGAAGAAGAGAAGAATAAAAGTTTAGTCCACTGAGATCTGTCAATGACCCATAATTCATATATGTAGAAGATCTATATAAAACCTAGCTCAGCTGTTGTTCAAACAAGCCAACTGTATATTATAATGGAAATATGTTTAATAACATTATCTTGTGCATGAAAAAATTTCAAGATAGGAGGGATTTTCTTGAAATAAGCACCCTGGATCCACTTTCTGTCCTTATGCATAGTGAATGACTTATTTCCCAGCTTTGCCCACAAGTGTTTTTTTTCCTCCACATTAAGGGACATCATAATAGTGAGTGTTGATTACAATAACACACAGTCTATGTGGTTTTTCCAGGATTTCATAGTACACTGAATTTCTCTTTTTTTTTTTTAAAGAAAAATCCCAACACATTTACAGATTTATACTAGTAAAGATGCATCACTCAATATTATAATACAGACCATGCTCACTAAGGCAAATAGTTATTGAATTAAGCTGGAGAATCACATCTATGTAGTGAAAACAAATGTAAAATACTTTCTTGTGATCTGAATACACAAGAAAGAGCCTCTAAAGGTGCACCGTATAAAATCAGCTATAGAATAACTGAGAAAACACAATCCACACAAGGTCAGCACACACGCATTTCACAAATAATTAACATGCAGTGGATTAATAATAGTGCTGGGAGATTTGGTGCGGAAGACGTTTAATTAGTGTGCTTTGGTTTATTTGTGTTCCCACAGTTTATCTGCACTTCAGCTCACACATGCGAGAGATGTGGGTGAATTGACAGATGTAGAAGGTGCTGAATGAAGAGAGAGGGTGTGTATGTGTTTGTGTGTGTTGGTGAAGGAAAGAAAAAGAAAGATGTTTAATGAGCATGTATTTTCATGTTATGTGAAAGCGAGGAGGGCACTGAGGGTTTCTAGCACCCTGTGTTTGGACTCACGTGTGTGGAGGCTGTGCTGGTTAGTGGTGCGGTGGCAGTGAATGGAGAGGGAGGGGCCAGAGAAGGCGTGGGCTGCTGCTGGGACAAATCAGAGCTGACTACGGCGACAGATCCCGTGCTCGACGATGACCCATCCGCACCAGAGAAAACACCTGTGGAGAAATCAGAGATGAACAGACATTAACTATGCTATCTTTATCTAATAATATATTTGAATAATACGATAAAACACTGATTTTAGAGAAACAGTGTTTGACAGTTGATGCTACAGCGACAACAATAATTACAGTATAAAAAGCACAAGGGTAAATAATAAAATTAATAATGGCTGCTGGTTTCCTGTCCCACTGTCAGGGCTTACTGAGACACTCATTAATGTTTTTACCCGAGCTTTTCTTTTCATGCCAAGTGAAAAAGTTGACATAGTTGCGGCTCAGACATTTGTCGTATTTCCTTGGGATTCTTGCCTCGGGTCTTGGTATTTGGTACATGCATTATTTTGTAAAATGTATTGTTGCTTCATACATTGTCCTTGTCATATATAAGCTCAATTATTATTTTTTTCATTATTTGAACTACAAAATTATTTAAAAATGTTGCAACCACCCTGGTTAAACATCTATTTTCTCCATCATCTCTCCATTTCTTAGGACTTTTCACAATTGAGTAACACAAATGCAAATAACTGGAGATAGAAGTAGACAAATTGCTATATTAGAGTATGAATCATTTACAGACATAATGGAACATCTAAAATTACGTTTTAAACAAGGCTCAGATCGGTTGACTTTAACCAATTTAATGCATGATTAATAAAATCAACAAATGTAATGCATGATTAAGTACGCAGGCCTGCTCGAGTGTGCGATAATTTGGTTTCTTTATGATTGTAAAATCTCCATCAATTATAATAAACACAAATTCAAACGCACAGAAACACACACACTGAGCTGGTGACCCACAGTGGCAAAAATCTGACGACACAAATCATTCACATTAAGCTTTTACAAATTAGGGCAGAAGAAAGAAAGGGGGGGGGAAAAATAATAAATTTCAATCGGCACGTTTTCTCCCTCCATATGTATTCTCCGTGTTCTTTTAACTTATTCAGACAAAACAACTTTATTCAGCTTATTAAAAATCATGAATATTATATTACAAAACATATGCTAGTTATAAATCACCTACGCAAACATATTGCTCCATTTTCACACACCCATACCCATGCTACATTCTCTTATCTCTGCTCTCTCTCTCTCCCTCTTGCTTTCTCTTCCCCCTACCCCTCTCAACCTCCCCCTCAATCACCCTGTGCTCGCCCACTAACCAGGGATAAGCCCTGCCCCTGGCCCCCTTTGACCCCAGCAGAGGAAGGGGGGAGGTGGAGGGCCCCTCAGCCCCACAAAAGACTGAATGGCTCAGGGCAGCACACATTCACTGGGGGAACAAGAGATCTTTGTGCCAGGAGGGGAGGGGTGGAGGGAGAGCGAGCGAGAGAGAGAGAGATACGAATACTACATGGGCCTACATACTATTTATAACGCTTTGTAATATGCACCAGAAAAATTGATACCCAAAGCAGGGCTGCTGTGACTCAGGGGGCACGAGCTCCTGAAAGATTTTTAGCAGCTGGATAAGAGGCCAAACCAACAGTTTATCAGAGTTTAGCTCATGCCATTGATGAAAAGAGTTACACACAAAGGGTCGGTGCAAAAACAGTGCCAGCAGCGAAGGAAAATACAGATTAATTTGAATGCACATTGACTTTGTGATATAAGAATATAGGTTATTTGAAATGTACCGAAATAGAATCACAGTCTATGTATGCTGTATTTTAAATGTTCCATAAGGAACGCTTGAATTAAAACAAAAATTATTTCTTATTTGAAATTATTTTCCTGAATTAGAAAACCAAACTAAACAGCTGCTAGTTGTTTTCTGTTTTTTAAGTAAGCAGGGAATGTAAACGCATTTACAAATAAATGTTTTAATTAGTTATACTTTTTTAAATTTAAAGTTTAACTCTATTACATTTATATCATTCATTTTTTTTTTAAATATCACTTTTAGGTGAAAACATTGGTGCAAATCTAGTGATTCTCAGGTTTTAACAAAAAAAATAAATAATTTAGTTAAACAAATAAATACATTTAAAAATGTATATAGTCATAACAACAAGGCTGTTTTTTTAGAGTTGTTGAGGAACTGATATTTTGGTATCTGGTATGAAGATTTTCAAATATTACAAAGATTGTTATTCATACAAACAGATTCTCATTTGACTCCTGCTTTAGATGGGAATTAAAACTTCCCCTTCAATAACAAAAGACGGCGAAGAGCCAAACATTTTTCTACACACACACACACACACACACACACACACACACAACCTCACTTGCTCTCCTGTCCAGCCAGTTAAATTGATATTGCCTCCACTCAGCCATATGGCATTGTGTGTGGTGTGCTGTGAGAGAGGAGATGGAAAAAGAACAGTGTCCGAGCTAAAGAACAGGTGCAGACAGACAGGCAGAAAGAGAAAGGTGTTGGAGAGATAATGACATAAAGAGAAGCAGTGTAGAAGAGAGAGAGACTAATAATGAAGAGAAAAGGGGAAAAAACAGATTTAAGGAAAATAGAAGAGAGAAAGAAGATAAAGAATGGAGTCAGATTCTGCTCTGCCCCCATTACAAAAAGCAAATACCCTTTCTGATTGAATTGCTTTCAGCACCACTGGTATGTGCCTTCGTGTGTGTGTGTGTGTGTGTGTGTGTGTGTGCGCGCGCACACCATGTTTTCTTTTTAGTCAGAATCTGAAAGGAGATCTTCATTCACAAAAAAGTAGTCATGTCCCTCTGCTGTCACATGGAAGTTTTGACTTTTATTAAGTTTTATTTTAGTCTCTTCTTTAAAATCTTGCCTACTGAATTCGGTTGAGGAATAAATAACTGGGTCATTTAATCTGTCTGTCCATCGTGAACCTGTGGATTTGTTACACCTCCTCAAACTGCAAAAAGCACTTCATACAGGGCTCTACGGTGTGAGCATTTTTCTTAAATATGCAAGTAAAAATTATAGCCTGAAATTGGTTAAATAAATAAGATGGTTTGAATGACCTTTCAGTTCTGACACTGTTATTAGCAAAGCCCAGTGTACAACATATTATGTTTGTTTTCATTTAAATAACACCTGTTTTGTCCCGGAAGTGTTTTACAAAAACATCAAAGTAAGTTAAATGAAAGTTAGGATGGCAGCCCGATCTGAGTCACACCAGATACTTACTGTTCACGACATCAATATCTCTCAAATATGTGTTTTTATTTATAAGGTTGCCTTATATTCAGATCATGAAAACTTTCCAGAGCACTTTAAGACTTATTTTAAATTTAATTCTCAGGTTCACTCTTATCCAACGCAACAATCTTAAATCTACATCCAAGATTTTTTCGTGGCAGGAGGTCAATTACTATCAAAATATAATTTGGGGTTACAAATTAATGGAAATACCTTTTCCCATCTTGGCAAAAAACTCCCATCTCCTAGAAAATGTTCAGAAAGAATGTCTAAGAAAGCCCATTAACTGCTGTTTAAAATTCTAATTCTCACACAAACACACCTTTTACATTATTTTTATATTTTTGTTTCATATTGTTATTTTGTTGTCATTATAACTTGTTGTTGATGTTATACATTTTTTTTCTATTATCAGTTTGTTATTACTTTATGTAGTTATAATATTCTCTGTATGTCAATTTTCTGTTCCTTATAACTATGAAATTTTAGGTGGAGGCTTTATTTTTCATTATTGTTAAGGTTACAGTTGCATATACATTAACACTGGCATGAACTGATCTTGAATAAACAACACGCAGTAGCGCCAGCATGGCATGTTCACCTAAAACACTTATTACTAGTGTCCTAGTTCTAATGCTATTAATAATCTGCCATACTCTAATATCTGTAAGAGAAATGGCTCATCCACTCACATCCATGGCCTCTATCCAAGATTCGCAGAATGGCTCATATTATGTAATGATCATGGTTGGAACTGTTGGTTCTTATAAGGAGTACGGCCAGACCTGCTGTATTTGAAAAGTATGCTGAGATAAATTGTGTTATTATATGCCGCTATACACATATATGAAAATTGAAATTGAAAAAAAAGATAAAAAGACAGACAGACAGACTGTGGTAGTAAAACTGCATTAATTGTGAGTACACTTAAGCATTCACATATACTTTTACACCAAAGAGCTATACTCACAAAAGTGTGCGTGTGTTCACTGAATGAATCCTGAAGTTGTGCATGTGTTTTGCTTACATAAATGTATGTATTTGCTCGTACATTTACTATCACTGAATTAGATGATTAATCTGGAAAATGTAAGAAATTGAATATCGACAAACCTTGGCTTTGAAGGCCATGAGTTTAAGGATCATCTCCACAGTGAAGAGCACAGTGAAAATCACGTTCAGCATATCAGACAGGTGAGTGACGTGGTCTGACTGGTTACAGTGCTGTGGGTTAAAGAGGCACAGATTGACAGTTGCATAAATATAAAGTCAGACAATGATTGTACAGTATGTATGCAGTCTGGCAAAAGGTTCTGCAGCATCTGGCTCAGGAGCACAAGACCCAGAAATTTGGAATTCAAGTAGCAGGGTCTTTGTTGCCTCTCAACAGTCTGGAGCTTGCAGGAGTATTTAGTTAAGCACATCATTTATATAATCAGCTCTAATTGGACAGGAATTTCACAACACTTTTATTACATTTGGCAGGCTACATCATTAATATATATAAAGATGGACGACATGACAGCTCTCCAACAGTCAGTCCAATTGGCATCTTGATGGCTGGTGGCTGACTGCATACAGGTCATAAAGTTGTCAAATTAATTTCTCCCAAAAATGTTTAGGTCTTATCACTCTGATGTATGTTCAAGTTTTCATTTTTCTGTTAAGGTTGATTTTAATCACTTATTTGTAGCTATAAGGTGTTAGGGTTAGGGTTAGGGGTTATAATAGGGGTTTCATTGTCATGATTGTCAGCAGAGCCCTGCATTCGATTGAGTCTGCCGAGAATATAGGGGCGGGATGTATCTGGAATATTCTGGCTTCATTTTTGTACAGTGGGAGGAATATGGAGCTGTTATTG